ACCCAGTCTCCTCCCCTCCCTGCCCGGTAACCTCCCCCATGCCCTTCATAGTTACTCACTCCTGTGTGTCCTGCATTTCCTCCATGTGAATGTTGTACCTCTGGTGTCCTGTGGTCGATTGCTCCAAGGGATACAGTTCCAGAGAGTATGTGGGTGCTTCACCTTGGGTTGAATGGTCTGCATGTACATCTTGTTTACTATTGGGCTGAGAGCCAGCCCCTGGGACTGAGCTTTATTCCAGGCCCAGAATGTATCCCAGGACCATAGTATTGGGGGTCTTAGCAGACTCCATCTGACCAGTAATTCTGGTCATTATTGAGTTTTTGGATTTTGTTCCATGTTTTTCTTCCCACTCTATCCAGGATCTCCAGATTTGATCCTTTCCTGAGTGGTTGGCATTGGGAGCTGGGCACCATGTAGGGCGTGAGAGAATTCAGTGTGATCATTCGGCTTCTCGCTTTGTAATGAGAGGGTTGTGTGTGTGTTTTATGCACAAAATACATGTGCGTAGTTATAGGGAAAACTTTGACTGGCTTCTTTCCATTTAGCTGGGAGTAAAAGTGTATGAAACAAGTTGACCAAGATTTAGAAGAGAAGCAGGTTTCCTAGACTTTAGATTCTTCATCCTGGTTGGTGGAATGAGGGGTGAGGACAGAATGGGAGGAGAAAGAAGGGGTAGAAGGACGATCTCATAGGCATATTTCAAAATTTATTTGAAGGGTGGGAATATGGTCTGCCCTGAACACATTGTAATGTTGATTTTCTGTGACTTAGCCTGGGAAACATCTGGGCTCTCAATAGTGCGTTTTGGCTCAATCTCCCAGGTTTACTGGTAGAGATCAATGACTTCAAATGTGTAGGAATTTCACCTGGCCTTGTTGCTCTGTTGTTGTCGTAGAAGAGTTGAATATGTAGATTCAATTTGCATTTTTTAAAGAGACCATGGATAGCCTTTCTTTCTCTGTGAAATAACCTCAGGGATGGTCTGTGTATCCAGGAAAAACAAAGTTATTTTATTGATTGAAAACAATGTCAGACCCTTGCAGTGGTGTATTAAATCTTTGGGCAGATTAACGGTTGTAGAGTTCATACTGTTTTAGTTCTTGCACATGAGACAGGGAATCCTTTCCTTTCTCTAATAAATAAATAGTATTTTCCACTTTAAGTGACTCTTGACATATAGATGAACGTAAGTTCTTTAAGAAAAATTATTAAAGTTGATAGGAATCTGCGTAGCCCTTTCTCTCAGACCAATTTCTCTTCCTCCTTTAAACAGAAACAGGGCCAGAGGTAGGGGAGGAGAATGATCTGTGGCCATTAACAGAAACTGATTTGGGGTTTGGAAAGGATATGGGGGAGAAGATGACAAAATTAAGGGAAGAGAATAAGACTTCTAGGAGAAAAAATTGCTCAGTAAGGAACTGGGTGTCAGGAGAAAGCCGGTCAAAATCAGCATTAAGAATCTAAATAGTACTGAGAAAGAATTGTGTGGTGGTTTCTCTCTAGGGGCCCAAGTTTAAAAGCCTTGGGCTGTTTTCTGCATGTTTCAGTTGAAAAAGACAAATGTTTTGTTCAGAATTGGACAATAGACGCACCGGGATTATTTACCATAGCTCTGTTAACAGTCCGGCTTTGATTCCATTTAGAAGTCGTTCCTCTCTGTTCAAAGTAGGGGAGACACCCTAAAATAATTGCCTCGCAGGTGATTTTGCTTTTGATTTTGATTATGTGTTAGTCCAAGACAAGATGGAAAGACACCTTTGCATGTTTGTTCACTCTATATCTGTTCACTTTATTTTTGGCAACATTGCAAGGAAGTAATGTGAAACTACTCAGTGTGGTTTTGTGGATTTAAAGGAAAAAGACGTATACAGAATAATAATGAAGATTGGGCAATCTCTACTTCCATAGAGATACCACCTCAGAGAGCTAAGGAGAGGTCACTATCAGTCGGCTCTGACTCGATGGCAGTGAGTTTGGTTTTTGGTTTTTGGATGTTTTGGTCAGGTTCCCAAAATACAGAGATATTTGGGAGCTTCCTTTGCATTCTCTTGCTCCTCAAATGGTCTCTGATGCAGATTGAAAGGCTTTGTTTTATGTAACATGAATGAGTCATGGCTGAGGCCAGGACGGAAGATAAGAATGTGGTTTATGTGCATCTCACCTAAATACAGACAGCTCAGTTTTATAACCTTTTTGGTTTGACCTACAAGGGTTATCAGAGGACCAAAGCAGGTAGAAAGGAGGACTATCTCTGCCCATGTCTATTGAGCATTTGCACCCTGTCTGTATAACGTGAGTCTAGTAGTTTCCAGTTGCTGATATATGGGAGCAGTGGAAGTACTAAGAAAGCAAGTGTGAATGCATCTTCTTTTGGGAGAAGGGTTGTTGCTATGTGATGAGGAGGACAATGAACATTTTCTACTCAAGTAAGAGTGGATAGAAAGTTCTGTGAGGCCAGGAACTATCTTTGTGTCTTTTGTATTCTCTCATTGTCTCTCACATGAGTCTGGGGAAATGTCTGGAATAGTTGCTGTGCAATAAACATTTAATGATATGATTGAAAAGGTTTTTTTTTTTCTGTCCATCTATAAAAGAGCACTGGTGGTGCTGTGCCTAAGACATTTGAGTGCTTAGCAGAAGGTGGGCGGTTCAAACCTGCTAGCTGCTCCATGGAAGGAAGATGGAACAATCTACTTCCTTAAAGATTTACATCCTTGGAAACCCCATAGGGGTCGCTATGAGTCGGAATCGACTCAATGGCAGTGGGTTATAGGAGAGACGATTCAATTGGGAGCTTCATTGAATATTCTTTTTTGACCAAAACCTACTGTATCATGACCAACCCTCCTCTCTGGGCTGTGGGTTAGTGAGCCTCACTAATGTGCCCTGTACTGAGACCAATCTGAAGTTATATCTTGAAGGTGACAGTGGTTATGGCTTTTGAAATCATCTACTATGCCAACCCAGAATGGAAGCAGTGGCTTTGTAGGGCTGTGAGGCTGGAACAAAGCAATCGTTTTCAGTCTCAGACCCGAACATTGCTGTCACCTGGAGACTGTGCTCTCCTTTCTGAACACAACTGCTGGACAGTGAGGTGTTCTTTTTTGGCTCTAGTGGAGATGCAATTTGCCACTCATTATGCGGCAAGCACACGGGAGGATAAGTCATCCCTTGGAAGAACTGATTTGGTGAATTGCCGGCCATTGGTGGCAAAATAGAAACGTTTTTATTTTTCCCTCCCTACCCTTCCTGAACATTTCAGAGTGACCAGTGGTTGGACTCTTGACGGCGCTTACCCTGAACCTGAGTGTTAGGGGAGAGGGAATCTGCCGTTGCGGTTTCTGGAGCTGCTCGTAAGCAAGAATTCCCTATCCTGATCAAGGCTTTAAGCCTAAAAGAAAGCAGAAATAGGTATGGATCATTAGTGTGTGTGGTCCGTGTGGGTGTGTGCATGTATGGCTGCAGGGTGGGGGTGAGTGTGGAATGGGAGGGGGTGGTACACTCTTCCGGGTCTAGAGCAGCTCAATATCTGATTTTCCTGCCTTGCAGGAGGGGTTTGTAAGTGATTTTGTTTGAACCATACACTTCTTGTTTCCAGTTTTTGAGAGAGGAAAAGTAGTTGGGTAGCCATCTCTCTAGTTTGAGGCACCAAAAGAGATTTGTATGTAATACTTGTACACCTATCCAAAAGTTCCAATTTGACAGTTCAAATATAGGAATCCTGAAAGGTCACTGGGAGAAAGGAAAAACATACTAGAGGGCACATTGCACAGCAGCTTGGTAATGCACAGAAGAATATGACTATTTAAAAAGGGCCTTTTGGAGGGTGAACCATGGGGCTAATATTCAATAGAATAATTGGAAACCAGGTAGCAGCAATCATGTAAGAAATGAAGAAGGAGGGAAGAGATGACCTATTCCACCTACCACACACCTAATTCTGGGTCATTCCCTGCAGAACTAAAGGAAAGGGGTTCTTGTTTCCAGAGATATTGGAGGCTGCCCAACCTAATAGAAATAAGGGACTGGGAGCTTGGTTTCCTGAGTTCTTACCTAGGAATCTGGGGCTGGTTAGGTTGACTTTCAATGTGATTTTCTGGGTAACATTTATATCCATTCTCCAAGAACATTTAAGATCCTTTGAGTGGAAGTTTCATTGAACATTAGTATTTAATTGTATGACAGAGAGGTTAGCATGACAGAGAGGTTTTGTCCAAAGATTTTGAGTCTTTAATGAGTTTGTGTATCTGTACAATGCTGGTGGCGGGGGATGTGGAAAAGAGAATGATGTCACCTACTGTTCATTTTTCATATGGGAAAATAGAAGCCAAGAAAAGACTCAATCAGTTATTTGGCTTACACTATAAATCAATGTCGTAATCACAGAATTTGTTTTGAGTTGTCTTACTACTGGTATCTGTTCCATGCAACCCATGTTACTTCCTTAAGAATGAAAAGGGGAGTTAGTGGTAATCATACCCTTCATTTTTCAATTTCTAAAAATTGTCAAAGGTACATTTCAAATGAAAGAAGGCTTCCCTTTGAAACTACTACCCACTCCCCCCCCAAAAAAAAAACCTCAATGATTCTTCTTGGATGGCTGAAAGAGAAATTTTGCCAATAACAACCCCCAAGTCTTTCTGTTATTAAGCCCTTGGTAAGGAACATCCAAAATGGACAATAGAAAACTAATTTTTTTTTAAGTAAAAGATATGGTTCAGAGTTTATGAGATCAGAAAGGAAGATTTGCATCACAGGAAGGATCATCATATCTGGTGCAAGGCAAGCTCTCTTTTTACCTTTTCTTTATTTTAGTTATTTAGCATTTTTATAGCACCTGACATGCTGAATTGCTTTATAAATAATTTTGATGGGGTAACTTCTCCCCACTGCCCTGTCCCCACCTCCATAGCTATATTAGTTGGATTTTTAATTAAAGAAACAGAATACAGAGAGAGAAACCCTATTAATAAGACCTGAGGAAATGCTCCTTTCTGATCACCCTATTTGATGTCCCTGGGTTTCCCTAGTTATTTTAGGACTTAAGATTGAATATTTAGCCCATGCTAAAAGTAAAAGAGTAAATTTGGAGCTCTTAGGCCTCCAAGTTCCTCATTTTATCAATGCTAAAGCCGGGAATCTAGATTCAATTCTTTACTTTGCTTCTGCAATGGAATCCTATCCCCAAATACCATTTTCTTCCTCTTTAGAGGACTGATTTATCCATCAACTGGATGTTAAGCTTCCTGTTTCCCCTTCCCAGGTCAAGGGCAGCCCAGGTGCCCAATTTCTCTCTCTCTTCACAAGGCACCACCAGCAATAGAGATGAGAAATTCTGAAGAACAACAAAGTGGAGGAACCACCGTATTGCAGCGTCTGCTACAAGAGCAGCTTCGCTATGGCAATCCTAATGAGAATCGCAACCTACTTGCCATACACCAGCAAGCCACAGGAAATGGTCCTCCTTTCCCCAGTGGCAGTGGGAACCCAGGTCTTCAGAATGATGTGTTGAGTCCCCAAGACCACCACCAACAGCTTGTAGCTCATGTTGCTCGACAAGAACCCCAAGGGCAGGAAATCCAGTCAGAAAATATCATCATGGAGAAGCAGCTCTCCCCTCGAATGCAGAATAATGAAGAACTCCCTACCTACGAAGAAGCCAAGGTTCAGTCCCAATACTTTCGGGGCCAACAGCATGCCAGTGTTGGAGCTGCCTTCTATGTCACTGGAGTCACTAACCAGAAGATGAGAACCGAGGGACGCCCGTCGGTCCAGAGGCTCAATCCTGGAAAGATACACCAAGATGAAGGACTCAGAGACCTTAAGCAAGGGCATGTCCGCTCCTTAAGTGAACGACTAATGCAGATGTCACTGGCTACCAGCGGGGTTAAGGCCCATCCACCTGTTACCAGCGCACCCCTCTCCCCACCACAACCCAATGACCTCTACAAGAATCCCACAAGTTCCAGTGAATTCTACAAGACCCAAGGGCCGCCTCCCAACCAGCATAGCCTGAAAGGCATGGAACATCGAGGCCCCCCACCAGAGTATCCCTTCAAGGGCATGCCACCCCAGTCTGTAGTGTGCAAGCCCCAAGAGCCAGGGCACTTCTATAGTGAGCATCGTCTGAACCAGCCAGGGAGAACAGAGGGGCAACTGATGAGGTATCAGCATCCCCCTGAGTATGGAGCAGCCAGGTAAGAGAGTTCCCTTTCTGTAATTTCCTGACCTCATCCCCAACCGGCTTCTTCTGCTGTGTGTTGGGAATCTTAAGGGAAGGAATGGGCAGGTGTTTAGTATAAAAAACTCTGCAATGCATGGCTGGCCCTTGGCTTAGTAAATTAGCTGCCAAACTGAATTTCTAGCCTCTCCAGTCGTAATCAACACAATACATTCCCTTGACTTTATAGGTTGAACATGGCCACAAACAGCCTAGTAGATGAACAGGAAGACAAATCTTGATTTTAGCAGGTATTCATTCACTGTCCTGTCTCCTAGGATATTGAAAGAGAGGTTAATACTCCTCTTCTTTCGAGTTACTAAGCCCCGAGGAGCAGACGTTATCTTGGACTTTAGTCTAAGACATACTATCACTTTCTTTTATGTCCCTCCATAAAACTCTCATCATTTTTTTTTTTTTTGGCAAACAAATATGTCTGCTTCTCATTAGTTGTAATTATTCTGTATAATCACTGTGATTTTTTTTTTAAGGTAAACACCCAGATTACTGTGGAGGGAACTATATATGTGCATAGCTTCAGAATGGTCCTTGCCTTGTACTTTCCTGCAGTTCATTAAGTCTGGACTGCTTTGTGTCTTTTCTGTAGTGAGTTTGTCAGTCATCTGTCACAATTTTTACATCATATCATGTAAACATTTTGGTCAGATGCTAAAATGCAGAAAAAAAAATATTCCAATGACTTCTGTACCACTGGATTAGTTTAGAAAAGCTGTTTCATATGTTTGGTTATTTATATATCTCTTAATTATCCAGAGCCCATTGTCCCATTGCTGTACTGACCAGACCTTGTGATTACCAGTATTTGGGCCATGTCTGATCAGTAGTATTTCAGCATGTGAGTTGGGGAAGGAGATTGAAACCATGGGCAACAGTGATGCTAATTATATGTGATATTACTGCTCATTTAATGTGGATAATTTAGAGTGGCCATAAGATTTGAAGTCCCTGGACCTAGGCTGGCCTTTTTTCATAGGCAGCCCACAGACTAGCCCTGTGATCTTTTCCCTCCTCACTCATTTAGGAAAAATCCTCTTGGCTTGAAGTTCATCCAGTTACTTAGGAGAAAAAGCAGACAGGGGTGGTGTAGGGTGAAGGTAAGACTATTGTTGTTGTTATGTGCCGTCGAGTCAGCCCTGACTCATAGCGACCCCTCCTTGGGTTTCCGAGGCAGTATCACT